CCATACTGCAGACTGTATTCTTGAATCTGCATGAGTAAGTGCTTCAAGTCATCCTCACTTTCAGCAATTAACCTGTGACAAGCATATCACAGGTTGTTAATAATTCTTCCTCCAATCTTGATGCCACATTTTTCTTCATGTAGTCCAGCTTTTCAGATTATTTGCTCAGCACATAGATTGAATAAGTAAGGTGGAATGACACAACCCTGACACACTCCCTTCTTGACTCTAAACCATGCAGTGTCCCCTTGTTCTTTTTGAACGACAGCCTCCAATAAGCAGCATCACGATAAATGGAGAAAAGATTGAAGTTAAAGATTTCATATTACTTGGTTCTACAATCACCACCAATGGAAGCAGAAGTTGAGACATCAGACAACATATAGCATTGGGGAAATCTGCTGCAAAAGACCTCTTTAAAGTGCTGAAGAACAAAGATGTCTCTTGAAGACTAAGGTGCACCTAACCCAAGCCATGGTATTTTCAATCACCTCTTATGCATGTGAGAGATGGACAATGAATAAGGAAGATGAAAGAAGAATTGATGCTTTTGAGTTCTGGTGTTGGGGAAGAATGCTAAGAGTACGATGGGTTGTTAAATGGACTAACAAATCTGTCTTTGAAGAAGTGCAGCCAGAGTCCTCCTTAGAAATGAGAATGGCCAGACTTCGTCTCACCTCTTTGGTCATGTTGTTAGAGGGAACCATTCCCTGGAGAAGGATATCATGCTTGGTAAAGTGGAGGGTCAACAAAGAAGGGGAAGGCCCTCAATGAGATGGATTGACACAGTGGCTTCACCGATGGACTCAGGTATAGCAAGGATCATGAAGGTGGCACAGGACCAGGCAGTGTTTTGTTCTGCTATGTGTAGGATTGCTATGAGCCGGCAATCACATGACAGCACCTAACAACAACAAATAATAATAATAATAAGGCTATTTCAGCAGGAATTAATCTATTGAAATAACTAACCATGACATGTATACCAAAGAATGTGGGCTTTTGAATTTTGTCTCCTTTTATATTAACCACATCATTCTACCCCTCTATTTTATATAATAAAATTGATGTAGCAATGATTTAGCAATTTCAAATGAAATCTGTGAGATTATTTACCTGTCATCTCTTTGCTTTCTTAGGAAGTGTCATTAAGCAGGAGAATCAAAGGATTGTTAACTACTACATTCCCAGCAAGGACAATAGCTGGGCAAAGGTGACTGTAGAAACCGTGTCCTTCTAACATTACATGTTAGGAGAGCACTAATAATATTTAAGATTCAAGTGTATGGGATGGGAGCCCGGCACTGTGGGAGGAGCAGAGTCTTTAGGGTACTTTTCAAAGGCGCTGGAAGAGTTTAATTACTTGAAACTTCTGACCATAAAGTCCATTATTATTCCATGTCAGTTAAGAAAATGGTAAGAAAGCTGCCTTCTCTATTTTCTCAATTATCTATTCTTTCTACTTCTCACTTCCCCTTCTGTGCCTTTTGTTCTCTAATACATATTTGGTAGGAATTGGAGGAACGTGATGGGGGAGGTTCATCTGGGTTGGAGTTTGTGAGGGGATTGCAATGGTAACTACAGCTGTTGTTGTTGTTAAAGGTGTTTGGTATTTTGGAGGAAGCAAAAGAGCAATTCCATTTAGAAGACTATTCCATTAGCCAGATAACACTGGAACAAGTCTTCCTGGCCTTTGCTCACACAGATAAAATGGAAGATGAATCTGAAGAAAATATACCATGAGATTGAGTTACAATCAGTGTCTTTCTTGGACTGCTCCCTACTACATCTGGATACACAGAGGGACATTTTTTTTTTTTTTTTTGCATGTATATCTTGGTGTATATACACTGATATAATAAAGATTCTACCAAAGAAGAATTTTTGTCTCCTTCTTTATAGATTTAGGTTAGTGGCCTTTGTATCTGCATTGCAAATCTAAGGACATTTGGTGAAATTCTTGTTTTCTCTCCAAGAAATAAGGAAGAGAAGCGTTTATTAACAAGAAACTACTCTCCAGTATTCTGAATGTTTGAACAGAACTATCCAGAAATAATGGTGCTGGGCAGCATAGTGCCTAAGGCACTTGACTGCTAACCAGAAGGCTGGTGGTTGTAACCCACCAGCCACTCCTTGGAAGAAAGGTTGGGCAATCTACTTCCACAGTGGTACTGCCTTGGAAACCAAAGGAGGGGTCGCTATGAGTCAGATCTGACTTGATGGCAGTGAGTTTGGTTTTTGGTCAGATGGACTGCCTGATGAGCAAGAATTTTATGTTAAGACCTAGAGCAAACCCTCTATCTAATAGACACACAATTTTACACTAAAAAGAGTCTAATAAACGTCTATATTTGAGTGATGAGTGGGTTAATCATGAAATCAAGTGGGTTACAATCAAACCATGATTTTACATTTGTAAGAGAATCTTTGCACCAATGTACCAAATGTGAGTAATCAACATGGTGTCACTGAGGAAGAGGAAGACATAGAGAGGTACATGAGAGGTGCAGACAACAAATATGAACTTTTTTGCACATACAGTACTGTGTTGTCAGTGAAGGCAAACATGGGTATATCGGTGGATAGATGGGTGGACAGGCTGAACTATTAGGTATGTCTATGTAGGGGGAAGTGTACCCAAGACCATGTATAGGGTTGGCAGACAATGGTTCTACAAGTGTATTTGTATGTTCTGTAAGAATTTCCCAGGTGTATAGTAGAGCTGACAAGGAACAAGGTTGTAGTCACTTCTTGGTCACAGCCAGCTAACCAGAGGGAGCGAGTAGTTGAACCTGTGGGTACAGGACCATAGTTGCAGGGAACATCAAGCTCAATTGGTATAACATACTACACAAAACATTGTTCTACCTCTTTGGTGAGTAGCAACTGGGATCTTAAAAGCTTGCAAGCAGCCATTTAGATGCAATGATGGGTCTCTCCTCATCGAGCAAAGAAGAATGAAGAAAACCAAAGATTTGTGGAAACAATTAGTCCTAGCGACTGGTACAAAATGTGATATGCAGTCTATATGACTGTGAGACTAGAAGAACTAGTTGGTGCTTGGCTACCACTGTCAACCACTCAGAGGGGGATCTTTGTAGGAGATCCTGGATAAAGAGGGAGAACAATGTGCAACAAAACTCAAAATCATTTGGAAAAAAAAAAGGAGGGGGGGACCAGGTTTGCTGGTCTGATAGAGCCTAGTGGAACCACTGAGACTATGGCCTCTAGCTGCCCTTCATGTCTGGAATTGAACCCACACCTGTGGCTTCCAGCCAAACAAAAGACAGACATAAGAGTTGAACATTTACCCTAGGTAGATACACTCCTTGGAGAGAATAATCATGGGAGAAAGAAGGGCTGCTTATGCACAGGGAGACAGCTCAGGGGGCAGGAGTGCATGGAGAGATGCATACAGGGAAGAGGTAACTATCGGGAGGAAGTGGGAGGGGAGCTGTTGCATTGGGATAAATTGTAGTCAATGTCATGAGACAAAGTGTATGTGAACTGCTGTAAGGAAAGTGAATTTGCTTTGTAAACTTTCACCCAAATCACAATTTGAAAAGAGAGAGAAAGAGAGAGAGAGAATCTTTGCACCAAGAATATTTAGAGTCTAAGGACAGAAAGCAAAAAAGGAATTTCTTTTTAAAACATTGTGTTTTCCTTTCTTTTCTCACTCCTGCTCTAATTTAGAAAGGATCAAGGAGAAATTAAGCATAGAGGGACAGAGATAAAGAGCTTTTCTTCTTGTTCTTGTCTGGGTAGAGAACCAAAAAGCCAAACCAAACCCACTACCATCAAATTGATTTAAGACTCATAGTGACCCCTATTGGGTTTCCAAGGCTGTAAATCTTTTGGGACATCTTTCTCCCTTGGAGCAGCTGGTGGGTTTGAACTGCCAGTCTCCTGGTTAGCAGTCAAAAGCCTGAGGCAATGCACCACCGGAGATTATTCTGGCCAGATGGAGTCCCTCACAGGTGTCATGAAAAACCTAAGCACAGATCCAGGATTCATGGACAGATAAGCAGATAAATAGGGATGATCCTGAAGAATTGCAAGATGGAAGAGGGACCATGAAGCTCCTCTCTTTTGTGGTAGTTCTTTCAAGCTTTTTACATTCTTAATTGCATATTGTTAGTTATAAATGGATGTTCAGAAGTTTTTCTATATTTTTTTATCTTTTATTTTTCAAATTTCCCTGTGCCCTTCTTGGGAGCTCTGGTGGCGTAGTGCCTAACACATTTGACTGCTAACCAGAAGGCTGTTAGTTCAGATCCACCAGCCACTCCTTGGAAGGAAGATTGGGCAATCTACTTCCATTGTGATACCACCTTGGAAACCCAAGGAGGGGTTGCTATGAGTCGGATCCAATTAGATGGCAGTGAGTTGTTTTCTTTTTCTTTTTTTTTTTTGGTGCCCTTCTTATCTATGCATTCCTGTCTGTCCAGCTTTCCCTCTATGTGAATGCTACCCCTCTGATGTCTCATGGTTGATTGATCTAAAGGGTACGTCTCCCTATGATAGGTGGTGCATCGCCCTGGGGTAGGTGTTCTGCATGTAGATCTTTCTGCTGTTGGGCTGAGAGTCAATCCATGGAAGTGAGTCCATTTCTAAGGCCTGAAGGATAACCTGGGGCCATAGTCTTGGGGGTTCCACCAATCTCTATCTTTCCAGTAATTCTGGTCATTTTTGTGTTTTTGAATTTTCCACATATTTCCTTCCACTCTCACCAGGACCTCTAATTTTGATCCCTTGGCATTGGCAGCCAGGCACCATCTAGTTCTTCTGGTCTCAGGGTCATGAAGGCTGAGGTCCTCATGGTCCATCATACCTTGGAATAATTGTTTCCAAATGATTTTGATTTTCTTCACTCTTCTTTGCTCCAGGCGAGAGGAAACCAATAATTGCATCTTAGATGGCCACGTGAAAGCTTTTAAGACCCCAGTCATTACTCACCAAAGTAGGTTGTAAACCAAGATCTTGTGCCAATTGATCATGATGTCCCACAAGACTATGGTCCCAAGCCTGCAGGCTGGAGATTCTCTCAAGTTGTTTGGTTGTCTCTAGGAAGCTACTCAAAAACAGAGAAGTGCATTTATAAAGGTCTAGTGGGCTGAGTAAACCCAGCCTTACTCCTGTGGATAAGGTAAAGCTTTTGAGACCTCCACTTGCTGATGTGGCACCACTCAAATTGAAGAGAAACAGCTGCAGACATCCATTAATCATCAGAACATGGAATGTATGAAGTATGAATCTAGGAAA